TTTTGTCTGATTACTTCCTCTGGTATCAGATGCTGTGCAGCTGGAAGGATTTTTACTGAAACCTTGTTACTTTTGGACATTTATGATGTGTAACCATGACAACAAGGTTTTTTTTTGTTGTTTTTTTTTACAACCGGGAGCAGCTAATTAACATCTCAAAAGCTCAAATACCTCATCTACAGCCCCAAATCCCAAATGAGTTGAAAAGGAGGCATCGTCAACGCATTACTATCTACATAGCGGCGGTGCTCGAGTTTCTGACCGCCAAGATCCTGGAGCTTTTTTTTTTGTTTGTTTTTTTTAATTGTTTGCCCATTTTGTGGTGGGATTGTTTATGTGTGTGTTAATTTTCTCGCCACCGTGCTGCAAAGAAAATTTCCCTAAGGGGACAATAAAAGTGATGATGATGGAGCTGGAGGGAAATGGGGCTTGTGACAGCGAAAGGACCAGGATCGTCCCCTGACACCTGCAACTCTGTCCGTGGCAGCGAGGGGCTTGACAGGCTGCTGTAAAAAGCAACCATCACTTTGAGGAGAGCTCTACCCATCATTCACAGGCAGTCCTGCTGCCCAGGAGGACGAAGAGGTCCACTGCGTCTGGGTGAACGGATTGGCATCTGCACCCAGGTTCTTCGGATCCGCTGTGGGATGGACTGCTGTAGGAGATCCTTCCTGTCCATCGCCATCAGCATCTAGAACTACTTTGAATGAAACCAGGATGATGAGTTACAACAACATTCAATTTCCCTTTGATATGAATAAACCATTTTTGAATTGAATTGAATTGGAAAAACAAAGACGTTAGTAATAAACAATATCAGTATTCTACACCCCCTCCCTCCAGCTTTGGGTCAGTTCGGTCAGCTGAACACTGGTGGCTGTTAGCTCGCCAGACAGACGTTAATCTGCCTTGGAGACAAGAAAGCCATACAAAGTTTGTCCTTTTAAATTAGTAAAACTAATTATGTCTTTTTCTATGACTCCGACAGAGTAGAATAAAACCTTTGTGTGACAATATTTAGGAGTGCAAGACATCCAGTTATTTATACTGCTCTTGTTTTATTTTTATTCTTTAACTGCCACCTACCCTAGCCAAAGCTCATATAAGAGCCAGTGTGAAATACACGCAGTGGTGGGATGTAACTAAGTACAAATACTTCGTCACTGTACTTAAGTACATTTTTCGTGTATCTGTACTTTACTTAAGTAGAGTTAAATGTGGGTACTTTATACTTTTACTTCACTACATTTTACATCAAGTATCTGTACTTTCTACTACACTACATTTATGTAACGTGTTGCATTACAAGTTACATTCATGTTGCGGCTTTTTGATTTGTTTGTTACTTTGAAAGTAACCAATGGTGAGAGGGGAGTCGGTCCATTGAATCACTGCAAAGTGGGCAGGTAACATTAGACCCACCTTCAAGAAGAGCTGGGCCAATGACATATTCTAGTATATATGTCACTGAGCTGGGTGCACCTGCAGCACCACTAGCACACCCAAAATGTATTCCAGCTCACCCCCACACATAGGCGTCGCAACCATTATATGTGAAGGGTCCCCCCCGCATTCAAAATACATTCATTTGGACCCCCCCCCCTACTATAAAACATTAGTTCTGTCGGTGCAGTTTCTCTTTCTTCGTGACTGAATCCATTCCACTTGATTAATAGGAGGATAATCAAGCCACTAAAATTCCACTCCAGGTTTTCCTGGTTACCTCCAACTCTCCAGCTTCCAGCAGCAGCACTGTTTCTCCTACGTCTCCTCCTGCCTCAGCAGAAAATAAGCACAGGTGGAGGAGATGGAGACACCTCTGTGTTGCACGCTCGCCAGTTTAGCAAGCTTAGTGCGGGCAGTTGTTGACAAGGGGGTTGATCATAAACATATATTCATGTTAGCAGGATGTTTGAGAGAAGTGCAGCGCTACGTCTGTAGCATGTTAGCTTAGCAGTAACTGTGACGCTGTAAGACGCTGCAGGTGTAAGAGACGCTGTGTGTTCAGGTGCATTAAAGTTGAAATGTCTTTAAACCCCCACACCTTATTGTCCTCAAGCTTCATGAGAAACATCATTTAAATGAGTAGTGTTGAACACAAGTAAAAAAGTCCAGTGGCAATGTTTTTATTTCTCTATAAACACAATAGTGCCGACCTGACGCTCTGTATTAAAGTGTATTAAAGTTAAAATGCTTTTAAAACAGCTGAATTTACACAAACTTGGTGAGAAACATGCTTTAAATGGAATTAAAGTAAGGAAATCTAGATGAAATGTTGCTTTTTTGTAAACTAGTGTACAATCTTTTGCACATTGGTGCACACACACTAGTGTCCCCCCCACATTACAGATGCTTCTGATGCCCATGCCCCCACGAGACATTGGCATACTGCTTGTATAGTTTTGAGTTTCTGGGATGGTTGCAAACTGATGCAACACATTCTAAACTAGAAATATAATGCAAGTTTTCTGGATAAAAGAAGAGACATCTTTTTGATTCCTCCCAAGATTTTCTCTTTAAATTTGCATGTCTAATGAAGCTAGATTCTCCTCGTTCTACATAAATCTTGGTAAGATGTGCAGATCCGTGTCCCGCTCTGTGACGTTTTAGTGTTTCTCTAAATTTGTGGCCAATTTGTTCATGACCTAACATGAATATGTGTGAATTTGATCAACCAAAGAGTGTGTCAGTCGATCAGTCAGGCAGGCTGCCTGTTTATTTTGCTGGCCGCCTGAGAAAAATCCTCTTCAGGTTGCCATGGGAGACTAAAGATGCTGGAGAGAAAAGGAGAAAGAAAAGACAGGAGTGTGGATGATTGACTGAAAAGTAAGACTAGAGGGCAAATTAGCATGATGAGACTCAAATATTACCCAAAGGAGACAAAGCGAGATGTTTTAGGCATCATTCAGATTGACAGAGAGGTATAAATACAGATTCTGTCGTCCATGTTTCGTCTGCTGAAAACTGAGAGCAATGTCTGCTCTCACAGAATCCTCAGAGAATACTCCTGGGACAAGCTGCACCAACAGGTACAGTCCTCAGCAGCAGATTTAATAATAAAAAAACTAAAGTGACACATTTTTGCCTTTTGTTTGTGAAGGACCTCCAGGTATTTTCTGACAGGGTGTAGAAAGACAAACACAGACGACTGAAGTGTCTAAGGTTGGTGAAGCAGGTGTTGATCTGGCTGTCTGTTGACTCTACAGGTCCAGTCACAGCTCTGTATCAGCTTAAAGCACCTTTCATGAGTTAATATTAACTCTTTGATAAGCGTGAGTGTGTGTGTGTGTGTGTGTGTGTGTGTGTGTGTGTGTGTGTGTGTGTGTGTGTGTGTGTGTGTTAGCACTGCAGGTGGTGGTAATTTTCAAACAAAACTTATTTCTAGACCTTTTTATTGAGTGAATGTTTTTGAATCTGTCTCGGTTTTGAGGTCTGTTCTTCTTCCGTATGATTTTTTTAGCACGTTACTCGTTCTGCAATTCTTATTCTGTTTCAACAATTCATGAATCAAAACGTTCAGCTCATTCAGGATATTCCTTCTGTGACTTTTATTGTTTGTGCTAATTTTACTTTTTAAAATATTTAGCTTTTTGGGCATGTTTTTCTTCTTGAAAATGAATGGTGCTCTTTTCACATCCTTCACAATCTGTTTTAAACCTTTACTGCTCATTTCAGATTTTGTTCTGAATCTGACTTTTCAGCTTCTTTCTGCTCATTTAAGCTTTTTTTTTTTAGCTAAGTCCAGCTTTTTATGCTCCTTTTGACTTCTTTCTGCTAAAAAGCTCCTACTTATTAGGTATCTCGATCAGGTCTCTCTTGTAAATGAGGCTCAATAAGACAAACCTGTATAAATAAAAGTTGAATGAATATTAGGTATTTTTCTGCTAATTTTATCTGTAATTATTTTAGCTAATTTCCATCTTATTTAATTCTTTCAAATAATTTTTAATGTTTGTGCTTTTCCCCCAGCCTCTTTCTGCTAATTTAAACATTTTCTGCTCATTTTTACAGTTTTTTTTGCTAATGCAAAATTTTTTGTAACCTATTCAGCCCCTCTCTACATATTTTAGCTTATTCTGCCTTTTTCTGCCACATTTCAGCTGTTTTCATGCTGCTTTCAGGAAATGTCAGCTGTTCAAATTCACTTATCAATAACAGTTTAGAGATTAAAACTTTTCAGATGGTTTCAGCTTCTTAGCAGCTTTCAGCAAAAATAATTTAGAAATAAGCATTCACACTACATTTTCACAGGAAATGACATTTCTCTAGTTTTTACGCAATTCTTAAAATTTTGCTGATGTCACATTCAGAGCAAAGAGAAGACGAGGTCAGCTCGTCTGTTGTCTTAAGAACGCCTTTCTCCAAGTTTTCATGCATTCCTGGTGTTATTTTTTACCATAACGGTAAATTTGGCATTAAGGAAGGACATTTACAATGTGCGAGTGTGCACACGTGCACGCCCTTGTAGACTAATGTGCAAACATTGCCTTTACCTGCCATGAGTGCTGCAGTCTGAGCAAAAGGAAGCCATTATCACCTTCACAACTTGTTTTGTGTGGCAAGGTGGAAGCCCCGGGGATAAAATTGTGCAAAAGCATTCAGGCATGCTTGTGTTTGTGTGAGCATGCGTTTGGGTGAGGCGGGTAAGGTGGGGGAGGGTGTTGGTGTCAGAAGGAAGTGGTTCCTTATCAGAATGTGTACATGGGTGTGAGAGCCCTTCCCTGCCCTCCTGACGCTGCAAAGTTGAAGAACTGTACACGGCGAGTTGCAGCTCAGCTGTTATCAGAGTTGGACCTTTAAATTTAGACGTTTGGGTTTCTCTGCTCTGCGACACCAGCAGAATGTCTCATTCAAAGCAGTGAAAAAAGCAAATGACTCAGCGCTTGTCCTGACTAAATTTGCATGTATTGTGAGTAGTTAGTGTTGCTCTGCTGCTCAGAGTTTGGTCATGTTCAATCTGTTGTTCTAGTTTTCTGATCTTGTTCCCATGTCTCTTTCAGTCAGCAGAATTCTTCGAAATGCTGGAAAAGATGCAGGTAGGCAATGCTTATTTATGTATTTCCTGCTAAGATTTATTATTTTCCTTTTTGTTTTCTGTTTTTTTTTCTTTTAATATTTACCAGTCATTGCAAATTTTATTTGTCGAGATGAATCTTTCCTTTTTTCTGGAACCACATTAAAAAAAAAAAAAATGTATAT